CCTCTCAGTATAGAAATACTCAGACACAAAGTCTGCTGGATCTTTATGCTGAAAGTGTATTGCTGAGCAAGCATGCACGGAAGGTATTCTTGTTATATCCCACTGTCTACAAGTGCAGGTATTATTCCTCAAATCCACCACAAACTGATCATCTTGTAAAGCAACCTGAAACCTATCACCAACTGCAGGCTTTGTGACACAGACTCTTGACAAATATTTATTCTGTTCTACCTTTGATCTAATTCTAGGATAAAGCATGTCAGGATGTCCACTCAACTCCATAAATTTCCCATGCTGTCTATTCATTAGTTCAGTCCTTACAAATTCAAGCATCTCAATGATGTGATATCCTCTTCCCCTAACTATAAACCCATTGAAAGTCTCACTAACATTATTTTCAATTATATCACACCTAGGAAGAGGAGAGACAAATGCCTTACAAAACTTTGAAGGATCTCTGTTAATAAAGTCCTCATAAGCTGCTTTGCATTCTACCTTCAGGTCCTCCAAAGCAATGTTGTAGTCTCCCAAGTGAGTGCTTAGAACAATTCTCCAGAACAAATTTTTTAAAGTTTGGCCCTTGAATCCCTTCTTCCAGTTCATGTAAACATGTCGAGCACAATTTCTATGCTCAGCATTTGGGACCAAGTCACTCATAGCATTCAACAAACCCTACAAAGAAAAAGTAATTTAGAACATGGTATTGTTTGAAACTAAGAACAAAAACTAACAAAATTGCACAGAATAGTCACCTTTTGTTGGTCTGTAATGAAAGTATATCCTAATCCATCCCTTACACCCAGTTCTGCAAACAAAATAGAGAGAAACCACTTCCAACACTCTTCATTTACAGCCTCAACCACAGCCCAAGCCACTGGATAAATTTGATTGTTACCATCTTTGGCAGTGGCACAAAACAAGGCTCCTCCTAAGAAAGTTTTCAAAAAGCATCCATCAAATCCAAGGATGGGTCTGCAGCCATTGATGAATCCTTTTCTTAGAGCACTAAAACCCACATAAAAGCCTCTGAGTGTGGTATTTTCCCCAAGTAAGAACTCAAAATTTCCCTCTCTATCAACCCTAATCAACTCAGCCATATAACTCCTCAGAAATGAGTAATGTTATATGACAGAACCTCTGAGCATTTCAAGTGCTTTCCACTTGACTCTATAAAGCTTCCACTTTGTAGGTACAACTGCAAACTTTTCAGAAATTGCCTCTTCCAATTGTGCAACTGTCATGTTTGGATTCCTTCTGAATTTTTCACCAAACTCTTCAGCAATCCACTGAGCAGTTAGTTGTCTAGTGTGAACATTTCTATGACATACATGCTCTTTATGCAGTTGTTTTATAGCTACACTACCTTCTTTTTCAATCACACTAGCATAAAGTCTCCAAGGGCAGCCATCTTGACATCTAACTTCTAATTGTCTACTGTTACACCTTATATTCTGAATATCTCTACCTTGCACAATTGCCACCCTTCTCACAGCTTTCTTGCACTGTTCAATGCTTTCAAACCTCATGCCAAGCTGAAAGTCAAGTGCATTATGATCACACTTGGGATCATACAATAACCTTGTCCTCCTTTTAACAAAATTCCCTTCCAAATCCATTTCTCTATCACTATCTAACTAATCAGAGATTAGTGCATTATGTAACAATTTGTCCTCTTCAAAGTCCATCCCAGCTGTGGCCATTGGATGTATATGGCCTGCATCATGATCACAATCTTGAACTTTCTTCTTAGACTCCTTCAAGTTCTTTCTTGCCTGACCATATTCCTCATCATCAGAAATAAGATCATCAGACAGGTCATCATCTGATGAATTCACCCCATTTGGAAAATAATCTTCATCCTCAGATGATTCTTGTTACCCCAACCCAACACATGCACTATTAGTTTCTGCATCAGCTTTACCATGTTCAACAGAAGTGTAATTGTCTATAATATCATTAATATCTTCCAACTGGTCTGCAGGCTTATTCTGAATTGATGCCTCAGCCTGACTCAAACCATTCACCTCTTCCATATGATCTTTACCTTGCTGGCCATCAGATTTTGTCTCATTTAAACCATTCACCTCTTCTCCATCATCTTCATCTTTCTGGCTATCAGATTGTGTCTGACTCAAACCATTCACCTCTTCTCCATCATCTTCATCCCGCTGGCTTTCAGATTGTGTCTGACTCAAACCATTCACCTCTTCCCTATCCTCAGCATTCTCATCTGCTTCATCATCAATGATGTCACCACCAACCACATAAATCTGAATTACAGTTCTCTTATTCTTACCACAACTAATAATCTCCATAACCCCTTTGTCATCAGTTACATCTCTCAAACTATCAGCTCCAAGACTAGCATCATGTATTCTATACACAATTTTTTCATACTTCTTAACTCCCAACTTCTGAAGTTCTTCTTGTAAGTCAAAGTAGCCAAACCTATCTGCATCTAACCCATAAATACTCTTCAAAGTACCAGTTAGATACTCCATAATAGGTCCACATTTCACAAAATAACCTCCAAAATTGACAACCAATGTAAATTTTTCTCTGCAATTAATTAAACATAGAAAAAAGCATCAAACTCAATAATCCAGTCATAACCCTGATTCTATCATAACTCTAATGTCAAAATGGATTTACAATAACAAAAAACTGTAAATATTTCGAAATTGTTCGAAATCCTAATTTCAAAATGAATGTACAATAAATAAAATGTAAGCAATTTGAAATTGTTCGAAACCCTAATTTCAAAATAAAACCCTAATTTGAAGAGGAACCCTAAATTCATAAACATATTTTAAATCTTTCGAATCCCTAGGTCAAAAAATACAATAATATTTAACAAGTCGATCACTATTTAATATGTAATTAACACTGAATTAAAAAATCACAAAACAAGAAAATGTTCCCAGATCCCTAAGTTCGAATCGGACGACGATTTTCAGAATTTCGACAACAAAAATAAAAAAATGACGGATTGACATACCTGTCGGTCATAGTCGTTTCAATGGGACCGCAATTTGTGAGCTTCGACAACAAGATTGTGAGCTTCGACGAGAATGGGACCACAACATTTTCAAAGAGCGACAAAAAATTCTAAGTCTGAAGATGGAAATTAGGTTTTCTTGATTTGGGGGAAAATGAGTGTTTTATAATGCCTTTACCACGTCACAACACTGAGAAGCAAGTTAGTCCACGTAGGTAGAGCTTAACGAACACACTGGCAAAAATGAGACGGCCGTTTGAATTTGGGTTCGGGTTGCAAAAACGGGACAAGGTTAGTTTATTTTTGCTAAATCGCAAAAGTTTGGTTAAAACGACAAAAAATTGTAAGATCGTGATTTTACCGGCAATTAGGCCTTTATATTACAATCACCTTATTCAAAGCTCTGATGCCAATTTACTCTTTAAACAGAAATAAAAGCAAGCAGAATCTATATCCATAATGCTAGAACCAAAAAGTTTCAATTTGCTGCAAAGCAAGGAAAGCACACAAATCTGAAGAAGAAAAAAAAAAAATGACTAACACATAAACTTTAAAGACACTCACATCAATTCGCAAAGGGTCATACACATAAAGTATAAAACTCATATAATTCAACTCATAAAAGTCATATGAGTTCAGCCATTCACCTCTCTCGGGGCCAGAAACAAAGCCGAAATGGAGACTCGTTTGGCTCTCGAAAAGGCTCGACTTAGTTGATGCCCGGCACCCAACTCGACTTTAGGATCTTGTTTGCTGCTCTTTGCCGGAACTGGCTACCCACGGTCCACCAGAAAATGGGGCCTCAGCTGCGGTGGTGCTCGTCTCGGCTCTCGGCAATCGGACGTTGCTCTCGGCCTACTCTCAGCCGCTGCACACGACCACTTTCAGTCAGGTTTTGACTCGTCGAGAAATGGGGCTCCTGTAATGCTCATCCATCCGCTGGTGGCTATGGAGTTGCTGTTTGTAGGTCCCGCGATGTTCTCGGTGATAGTTCAAACCCGAACAGACCACTGATTGCAGCCCTATTTTAGATCGAGACGATGGCCAGGAAGCGACCTGGGGTACATTTGTTCGCGGTGGGTTCGCCTGCGGGCAGGTGTTGGTGACGCACGGAAAAACGACGAGAAGATGGTGTCGCCCCCGGTGTCTATTGGTTGTTGCGGACAGAGGCTTTATGCGAGAGGGAAAGCGATGGGGGAGAAGACGATCGTGATATTACGCGAGAGAGAGAGAGATGAGATTTTATCAATGGTGATGATCTAATGACCGAGAGAAAAATCTAGATTGCTCTGTTCTGCTTGCAGACGAGAGGTGAGAGAGTTGCTAGGGTCTGCGGTTTGATTTTAGCCGAGAAGGGAAAACTTAATCTCTATATAAAGTTAAACTAGCTTAGGGTTAATAAGTCTTCTTAACGTAGCAACCAAGCAATTCAAGAGGAGGAATCCGGGTAGGGGCGCACGGCTTCTCGGTTCGGCTCATGGCTTGGGCCAGCGGCTCGGTCCATTATTTACGATAGTTGAAGCTCTGTTATAACTCGACAATTAAAATAAAAACCGGGTAACTATTTATATAAAACATACATTAATTACATTTACTGTTAATAAAAATTTAGACAAATAATAATAATACTAATAATAATAACAATAGTAATAACAATTAAGCAATTAAGCAATTAGGCGACTAAACAATTAAAAAACAATTTAGACATTTAGCATTAACAACAACAACAACAACAACAACAACAACAACAACAATAATAATAATAACAACAACAACAACAACAATAATAATAAAATAATAATAATAATAATAATAATAATAATAATAATAATAATAATAATAATAATAATAATAATAATAATAATAATAATAATAATAATAATAATCAATTAGGCAAATTAAATAAATAACCTCAACTAATTTTCTAAACAAACGGGGCATTACAGTCTACCCACCTTACAAAGAATTCCATCCCCGAAATTCGAAATTAAACATCTAGAAAGCATTAGAATGCAAAAGGAATATCAAAACATGAAATTTGGTACTCCCTCCAATTCTCGGTCTCCCTTTCTAAGTCGTCTCGCCCTCGACTCGACTATCCCCACTGGACTTTGACGAATACCCCTTTCCGGCCTTTCCCTGATGAATCCTCAGTCCCAACAGGTCACCGGTACCTCCATACAAGTAGGGTTCTGCTATCACGTAGCTCATCACAATCCATACGTATCTCGAGATCACACACACGTTCCTCCATCATGAGGCATATAACGTGTCATGCATCTCCGCAAGCTCCACTGGTGGAGTCCACCATCAGGCTAAATCATCGACTTGGTCGAGGGTCATCATAGAACAGAAATACCTGGCCGTAGCCTCCTTTCTTACCACGAAGCACCTCACTTCACGTGGTACAATAATACAATTTAGCACAACAACTCCTAAAGGTAAAACCTCCAAAGTTGCCTCACTTCATTAGTCCTCCAAAGAAGACTTAGGTCAATACGATACACGTGAAAAATTCCCGGAATCGATACGCATTTACACGTTAGAGACTTGGCAGCTGTGGCATGAATGGCTGGCCTGGCATGCGGCAATGCGGCACGCTACATGCAGCACACTACGCACGACACTTCTTATAACTCGAGATGCATCACCGAGCGTGGCACGCCTGTGCGTGACACCAACACGTAGTACACCTGCACTACCCGCATCCAGTAGCTACGGTTCATTCCTCATCGGCTGTTACATCTCCCCGTGTTGATACGTACTCGATGATCAGAAATCTCCTAGTTCTTTGTGACCCTAATCCAAACTTCAATATCCAAGTACTCCGACATCGTTGTCAGGGTACTCGTACTTCTTCATGAGTCAAGTGGCTGATTATTCACGATTTTTTTGAAACTCCTACCGCCTTACAAACTTCATAGCATTTCTAGAACTTGTCGAAGCGCTTCCCGATCAGGTAGACGGAGACTTCCACGTACGATCCTCCGGCATGACGCTCAATTAGTTCACAAAAGAAGGATTGATTTATGCCTATTTCTAGGCACAAGTATTCTTAAGAGTCACAACATTATTCGCTCTTTTGTACTCTTCGCATTTTAAAGGTTGATAAGATCCTAAGCCCCGATTTCATTTCAATAATCAATAATCAAGCAATGTACAATAATCTCAAATATCATTCAGGTACTGATACCTGAGTTGGCGCGGCACGACGAGAGCAAGTGGTCATAGCTTAAAGTCAAAGCAATAATCAAATAATTCATATTAACCAGTCTACAGAAACGCAGACTGGCTCTGGTACCAAACTGTAACGCCCAGCTTTTAATAGACGAAATTCAGAATGAATTATTCAAAATTTATTTCATTACTAATTGAGGCGTTACTCATTTTCAAAAGTGATTTTCAATAATCAACATTAATCGCAATTCTCAATCATTATTGTAAATATTTTTCCGAAGTAGAATCGAAAGATTCGAACATCGGGTCGTGTCTCTCGAGGAAGATTAGCTGGAATATAATGCGCGTTTATTCAATCACACAAAAAGAAATAAAATATCTAAACATTCTAAATCAAAAGACTGGTTTGAGTTTAATTATTGACTACTGCGAAAATTCAAATAAGCAACAAAAATAACGAGCTAAGACGAAGAACAAATAGGATTTAAGGAGCTAGGGAGTCGGGGATATCCATTTTGGTTCGAGAATGCAATTGATGGGCAAGTGGTTGTTCGTAATGCAAGTGTTAGCGTCCTGGTCCGGTTTGGAACGGATCGATCTTTGTCCTCGCTCGTAGAACGCCGGAAACCTGCAAGTAACTCTCACACCGGGGGTTGTGTCCGGTGAAGAGCCTCCGATGCTTAAGTCAGTATGTGTATGAGTATATTGAAGTAAAGAATGAATAGAATGTGTTAAGGGAGAAAGGCTCACCCCCTTTATATAGGGGTGAGATACCTGCCCTAATAGCTGCCCGGATAAGGTGAGCTGGCTGCCCAAGCTGCCCGTCCGTACTCTGACACACCGCGCGCATGTCAGAGGTTGCGCAGGGGCATTAGGGAGCTGTCAGAGGTGGTTATCGATATCCACCAATGCATTCTCGACACGTGTCCCCCTGCACATGGGGTAAATATTCTCCTGAGATTCGGTTAGAGGTTCCTACACGCGCCTGTGACTAGGCCGACTGTTGGGTCCCCGAAGCAATCGACCTGATGAGGTCGAATAGGTTGCTCGATCGATTATCTGGTCAAGCGATGGATTGGTCGACTACCTGCTTGGTCGACTATCCCGCCTCTTGGCTTGGCTTCTTCCTGGTTTGATCTTCTCGACCGGCTAACTAGACCGGTTTAGCCTTGTGTATATAATATCCTATATCATCTAGTCCCCCCCCACTCTGGTCGAGTCTGAATGACTCGATCTAAGAGTGAGCTCGTATCTATCGATCTTCTGGATGGCTCGTCGTCAGATATCGACCAGCTGGTAAGCTTCCCGCTCATGTTTTCAAATAATTTCCCATTAATCGCTAGAAATAAAGTCGTCTATTTCAAGTCCTTTCTGTCGTGCCTGCTTTTCTGCCACGCGTCGCGTCTGCCGCATGTGTCAGTTGCTTTAATGATGACACCTCTTCGTATAACGCACCCGCCTTGAGTGCCGTGCATATTAATGCTTCCCACCGTACGATCTAGCTTTAATCTAACGAACTTCATCTTCTCACCCCTTAAACTCTCCAAAGTATAAATTCAACACGTAGCAGATTTTAAGATTTTTTTCCACCTTCGCAACTTTCAAATTCCTCTGTACCCAAAATTCTCTCTGCAAAAAACCCTCACTTTCTCGGCAATTTCTCCTGCATCCTTTCGAACTTCCATTACTTGTTGATCCACGGTTATGCGTAAATCTCTCCACACTTGAATTTGTATTCTCTGTAGATCTATTTTGTGTATTCTTGGATTTTCGGTATCGGGTATCCTTGATTTGTCTGTTGAATCATTTCGAATTGGCGTGTATTGTGTTGAATTTGCGCTCTGAATACTTTTATCTGTCTATTGGATGTTGTGGATTTTGCTTTTCCCCTGATAATTTTTGAAATTTTCGTCCTCGCACCTCTCAAATTCCTCTTCTGGTTTTGAGGTTGTTCCTTCCGAAAACCCTAGTCATCCTTCTCCCCTCTTTCTTCTTTGCGACGGCTTGTTTTTGATATTGTTCTCTTCTTTTTTGTTTTCAGATCCTGCTACCTCGACCACCTCCTCTGATTCAGTTGAGATATTGCCTTCTGCCCTTGAAGCTGTTCCTCTCTCTATCCTCCGCCCCGGTGATACTGTTCCCACACGCATTTTCACAGCTCGTGTTGCATCTCCCAACTCTGGGGATACCATGGATAATATCCCCCTCCGCCGCCGTCGACCTGCTCTCGGCGCATTAGACGAGCCAGAGGAGGATGAGGTCCTTTCTGCTCAATCTACTGCTCCTGCATCTTCAACCATTCTACCTTCTTCCTCTACACCTGGACCTTCGAACTCTCCTCCTAAACGATCCTCGACCAAGAAATTTTCCAAGCGTCCATCTTCTACTTCTCTCTCTCACCCTTGGTTCAATCCAAAAAAAATCGGCCAACCTCTTGGTTGGGCGTTCCTTAGGTCTTCTTCTTCTGACGAATACGATCATCCTCCGCAGGATTGTTATACTTTTTTCGAGATTCAGTTCAAACTCGGTCTCCTCTTTCCCCTAACTCCCGAGCTGCTTCGCATTTGCGAGTGGTTCTCGCTTCCCCTACATCAACTTCCTCTTAATGCTATCCGTTTCATGAACACCTTCATTATTCTCTGTCACGTACGTCTGGGTCAATTTGATCTGGATTTCTTCCACTATTGTTATGGCCCTTCGAAGCAAGGTCGAGTCCTTTACTTGAAAAGCCGTAATGGTGCCCATTTCGTCAACGACATCCCTTCCAATCTCCCCAAGTGGAGTGATAAATTCATATTTGTTTGACCTGAATCCCCTTTCCCCTGGCCTTCCATTCCTTGGGTCAAGGAAGTCTCGCGAGAGGCAGCCTCGGCCCCTCCTTCGAACCATCTTTTCGACCAACGGATTCACACTTGGAATGCCAAGTCCGTTGAGTCTGAAAAACTTCTCGGGGATGAAAATGTTCTCCACTATTGCGGTCTTCTCACCCATAAAACTCTTTCTCCTCCTACTGAGGAGATTCTCAATCTTGTTCGTACGGAAAATGATCCAGGTAATTCTCGACCCGTTTGCTCGAGTGTTTCCATATGTGCTCTAATTTCTGTCGAAGTAAAAAACTGACATTTATCTTAATCTCTTTATTGTACTCGTGCATAGGCTCCTAATTTTAACATCCCTCTGAGGAAAGTCCCCTTGAAGAAGAAATCGGGGACTGTTTCTGGATCGACCAGCGACAAGACTGACGGGTCGACCACTTCCTCTGGGTCTCGACCCGAGCGACAACAGCCATCGCCATCTCGCCAACCTCTCTCTCAGTCCTCGCCGTCACCACAACCACCGCCATCTCAATCTCAGCAACCACCGCTCCAACAACAAAATCAACAACAGCCACAACAACAACAACAACAACAATAAAAACAACAACAACAACAACAACAGCAACAGCGCCAGCAGCAACAGCAACAACAGCCTTCCAAGACCCCGGAAGGGCGATCTTCCTTGCCTCCTCCTGAGAAGAACCCTCAGCACAAATCTGCCTCTCAATCGACCACCAAGTCCCCGACCTCCTCGAAAACCATCGACCACCAACAGAAATCCAATGATCGCCAAAAACCCACTGACCGCCATAATACAACAGACGACCGCTCACAGAAGACAGGTCCTCGAGCTTCCAATCTCAAAGATAACCCTCAAGGCAAAATCACCGATAAATCCTCCGAACCCCACACTTCATCCAAAACCAAAACCCAAGAAAAACTGCCCCTCGCCCAACAATCCTCCAAAACCACTTCTGCCGGATTGACCAAAGCTCTGGTCGAGTCCGACAATCATGATGACGGGGGACGCGAGTTGGCCTTGGGCAAGCGTTCTCGCACTGACCAGGGCGAGGCGATTGTCAAGCGAGGACGCTCGGGCCATCTTCCTCTTGATCCTTTCGCCCCAATGTCGACGTCCCTGCTATCAGCCTCTGTAAATGAGGTGTCCGAGCACCTCGAGGGTGCCTTTCTCGAGGACGATCGCAAAAAGGCCAGCGCTACGCTGCACGAAGTTGGGGACCAGCTCGTGTAGTGGCTTGCTCAGGTATTGCTTGCCTCATACTCGCCTTGATGTCTTCTTGTCACTCCTTTTCGACGTATGTATTGAACTGTTTTTATCCTCTTCGTTTGTAGGGCTTGGTCCAATTCTTACCTTTAGCCAAGAAGGCCCGAGACAGCTCGGAGAAGTCGATAAAAAGCCTGGAGAGCAACATCTGCTACTTGCAGGATAAAAATTCAACCCTTCTGACTCATAACGCCAAGCTCTGCGAGACGCAAAACGAGCAAAAGTCTGAGTTCGAGGTCAAGATAAAGTCGCTTGACGAAGAGCTCTCAAACAAAAATAAAGCTTTCGCGGAGAGAGAAGCCGCCCTCGCGATAAAGGAGGTGGCTGTGGTGGAAAAGAAGACCGCATTGAAGGAGAAAGAGGCTGCCCTCGAGCAAGAGAAGGCTGCTCGAGCACAAGCAGAAGCTGCTCGAGCTCAGGCGGAGAGTGCTCGAGCCGAGGCAGAGGCCGCTCGAGCTGAAATGGAGGCCGCCCGAGCTGAGATGGAGGCCACCTTGGCCAAAGAATGGGCTGCCCACGCCTACCAGTGCAAACGCTACGCTGATGCCGCTGCTCTCCGAGCTCGGCAAATGATGTGGGGCACCACCACTGGGCAGCTCTTCCTCCGAGAGTACCGTGAACAAGTGGTGGCCGATTACACGCGGTCACCACAATATTTGAAGGAGGTGCAAGATTTTGGGGTGGACTGCTTCCATTTCGCCCTTCAGAAGGCCGGCGAGCAGATCGCCGAGGACGACTTCGAGCAACTCGACCCTGGGGCTATTTGTGAGGCCCTGCCTAAGGTCCCTCCTAGCTTTCAGGGCGATCCCAACTTACCGACCGAGCACGAGTGGTGGTCAGGGCTGCTCGAAAGAACTCTGGCTCGATCGGACACCTTGAAGAAGACTTATGCTCTGCCCGATGGCCTCACTCCTCCTGCCTCGATGTTGGCCGTGCTGACCGAGTCTATTCGTCAATGCCCACTCAACGAAGCTTGCGACTCGACCTCCGAGACCAGCCATCAGCCCGATCCTCATGCTAGTTCTAGCAATGCTGACTCGACCACCGCCCCTCCTCCTTAGAGTAGCTTCGTTTGTACTTTATTGCTTTCGAACTTTAGTTTCGTACTCTGATAAACTTTGTAATATTCTTGAAATGGTAATGTTTTGTTTTTGACTCGTCTCTATCTTGAATAATGCTCTTTGGTAACTTGGCTTGATGTCTTGGTCGTAACACTTCGATGGAACAACCAAAGCGGAGTTCAGAGTATGATTGATGCGAATTTTGATATATGATCAACACGCTTTCATTAGTCGGCCCATTTTTCGTTATTTAAACGATATTTGTATGTTTGCCTCACGATCACTTGGATAATTTAGTCGTAACATACACACATCCACACCCTTGGAGGTGGTCAAATCATGCGACCATCCAACCTCGTGGCCTTAAACATTATGGACTTTAAATTTTTGAACACATGCCCACCCCTGGAGGTGGTCGAAGCATTTGACCATCCAGCCTCGTGGCCTTAAACATGATGTATTTTAAAATTTTGAACACATGCCCACCCCTGGAGGTGGTCGAAGCATGCGACCATCCAGCCTCGTGGCCTTAAACATGATGGACTTTAAATTTTCACACCATTGGACTTCTCTTTTACACTAATGCTTTTGTGCTCATCCTCTGGGCTTGATGTTGCCCGCGTCTCTATGTCCTTGACTTCGTGTGCCCTCACCTGGCTATAAGGTCTTCGTTACGGGGAATTTGCTTTCACACTTGCTCACCCGCAAGGAATGTTCTAAACAGGAGGTCTTCGACCAACCTGCCCATTCCATGGAATGTTCTAAACAAGTGACCACCCAGCCCGAGGGCCTTAGTCATGGTGGGTTTTGGTCTTCACACTTGCCTACCCGCGAGGAATGTTCTAAACAGGAGGTCTTCGACCAACCTGCCCACCCCAAGGGATGTTCTAAATAAGTGACTTCCAAGTCAGACCACGCCACATACATCCTGTCATCCAAATTATACCAGCATCCAAGCATAAGAAAATGTGCAATAAAGCGAGTAAAATCAGAAGAATAACTGAACTTCATTAACTTTTGAGCAAACTTTGCGATTTACATCTTTGTTCGAATTTTCTAGCTTTCTTTGAAAAGAGCAAAAAATTTTACACATAATTTTTTTTTTCAAATTAGCTATGTTCCATGACCAGGCAAGTGATCGGCCTTCGGCATCCTTTAGCGAGTACGCTCCTCCTGCGTGCACTCGCTCGACCAGGTATGGCCCTTCCCAGTTCGGCTCTAGCTTTCCCACATGTTTGAGCACACCGACACGTTTCCAAACCAGGTCGCCTACTTGGAGTCTGCGAACTTTCACCTTCTTGTCATGAGCCGCTCGCATCCTTTGCTTGTACGCCTCTACTCTAACTGCGGCTCTCCCCCTCAGCTCCTCAATAGTGTCCAAAGCCACCACCATCAAGTCTTTGTTTTGCTTGAAATCATATGTGCTCGACCTCTGTGATGATAGCTCGACTTCAACCGGCAGCAATGCCTCCATCCCATAAGCTAAACTGAAGGGAGTTTCTCCTATTGTCGACCTCGGAGTTGTGCGCTATACCCAGAGCACTGAGCTCAACTCGTCCACCCACGCCCCCGAGGCCTTTTCCAGCATTGTTTTCAACCCATTCAGTATGATTCGGTTGGTTACTTCGTCCTGGCCGTTAGCCTGCGGATGAGCAACAGATGCAAAATGCTGCTCGATTTTCATGTCTTCTCACCATGCCCGGATGCGCTTGCCATTGAACTGAGTGCCATTGTCGGAGATTAATACTTTAGGAACGCCGAATCTGCAGCAAATATTGTTTTATAAAAATATTATTACTTTCTCCTCCGTGATTTTTGCCAAAGGTTCGGCCTCCACCCATTTTGTGAAATAGTCTACCGCCACGATTAAGAACTTTCTCTGCCCAGTTCCTTGCGGCATCGGCCCCACCAGGTCAATCCTCCACTGAGCGAATGGTATAGGGGCACTCATCGTCGTCATCATTTCTGCCGATTGGTGAATAAGTGGACCATGCTTCTGGCAATGTAAGCACTTCCTTACCATCATCTTCGCGTCCTCCTTCATCGTCGGCCAGAAGTATCCTG